AAAACTGAGCATGATTTTTCCCCAAAATTCAGATTCATATGCAAAACAACATAGACTCAGAAAATTCGGCCTAATACTGGAATACCAGGTAGTTTTATTTTTGTAGACAAAATATTTTCAATTTAAAAACTAGATAAAACTCTTCACAGTTCCAGAACTCAATGACTCCTGTATCAGAAGACGAAAAAAAAAAAGTGAATAAAAATGCCGCTTTAGGACCATCGATTATATTCGACGCTATAACTCCTCACTTAATTTTCTTTGTCTTTTACATATAGTCTACTTCTTCTGATATATTATCTCTCTCTTTGAGATTGAAATAATGATTTCTTTCAAGCCTAGACAATTCATCACGTGATGATCAATCTTCGAATAAAAACAAAGAATATTTATTATTATAACGAGCAGTCATGCGCTATATGATCAATATCTAACTTTCTCTTTCCTCCACTTGACTTGGCCTCTAATTTATTCGAATATTTCGATGTATAAAAAAACATGAAACCTATATGGCAGTAGTAGCAGAAGCTGTTCGACTTTATTTTTAGATCAAAGAGATATTCAAAAAATGTGATTTTGTGTTTAAAGATAATGCCGAAATAGCATGTAAACTTCTATCATTCAATTCAATCTGGTCAACTACTGGTTCTAGAATCGAGTTTCGTTTCATCTCACTGACGAGTGCACTAACATCGAATGCTATACAAACTCCTTATAACTTGTGAAGAATATCCATCTTAGTTGCTGTTCTACAATGTTCTCGTGATAATTGTTTTGTGTGATCTGATTCTATAGAAAGATACAAATAACAGATGCTCACCACGTAGAAAAGGTGAGGGATTCATATTGAGAGAAAATGACGGCAAATTAATGTTGAATTTTCAAAAGTATCTTTCATTACTCTAGTAAATTATTTTGAGGTTAGCGATTATTTAGCACTGGAGAATTTTTTATCAAAGATTGTATAATTTTCTTTTTCTATTTCAGAAAGTTCATATTTGAAGATAAGTTCAAAAAAAATTTCCACATTAAATAATATAAAGTCATTCATTGATATTTTCTTACAAACAATGATTAGAATACTTCTCTTTCATTTTATATTATGTAAAATGAATTTAATGTTTGAAAAGAAAATTTTTTCATCAATAATATGGAGTTTGTGTAAAGAAATAATTTATGATACAGCATCATCATCATCAAATATGGGATTAATGCCACCCTGGGTGAAAGGCTAGTTTGACAAGTTATAGTAATCTTTCTTTGACATACTAATTTTTTTATATATGGTCTTTTTCATTTCACACTGAATTTTTCAAAAATAGTTATGCCGCCTTTTTTGAACTAAGACATTTGAGGACATTTTACAAAATCATGCGTCTCTTAAAGCATCATAAGAGAAAGCATTTTTCGGCTACATAAACGAAGCAATGACGCATGTTCGTAATAAACATAGCATTGCCATTTCTTCGTCTTCAACCTTAGTCTCGTAATTCATCGTTACACTGAAAAATTGATATAACATTACACACTTTATATAACCTCTATTTTTAAGAGTTCAGGCCTTGAGGGTACAGCTGTGAGCACACGATATTTTTTGTTTCACTCTTAGCACAACAAACACTTTCTATTTAATTTTTTTTCATCCTTTACTGCATAAATGCTAATTAATTAGAGCTATAAGGAAACTTATTTTGGCTACTAGAATCAATCAATGTCAAATGCAGCTAAAAGAATAAAGATGAACTCTTTTCCTCTTATATTTGCGTGAATAAAAATCTTGAATAGCTGTTCGACCAAAGACATGCATCAAGAGTTTTCAATTTACCTTAATTGTTTCTCCTACAAGCAATTATCTAATGATATGTACAGTTGATGACCACATCTTTACATTCACAATAAGTAGCGTAATTTAGAGAGACAACAGCAGAAGTGAAAATTTATTTAATACATTTAGATTTCAAACCATACAGTTCTTTACTATACTAGACACCTTTTAGTCGCATATATATCTAAAGCCTAATGTTGGTAGCGATTACTTTTCTAAGCTTCACTTTAGTGAGACTCTCGCCTGCGAACCTTCTTATTCAAGATTGTAGTACTTCCAATTCCGAATTCCACAACATCGCAAACCGAAATGACCACAGTTTAAGTACATTTACTAGTAAACTAAGCATCCAAAACATGGCATTATGTTTTCAGCTTTATATTATAACGCACACCGATATAGAATATTACATGAATTCTAAAGACTAACAAACTTGTACCCGATATGAAATTCATGGTATATACAGTACATAATACCATACGAACAGTGCTGCTGAGTACAAGCCCGCACACAATGAACGCAGACGATACTTTCAGTAAGGATTATTATATCATTCTGAAAACTTTCAAGAACACCGCATCCCATTTGAAATGGAGTGCCGATTTTTGTTTTAAATTTAGATTGAAATCAAAAACACCAGCCTACGAATTTTTTTCAATGAAATCTGTCATATTTTGATAAGAATAGATTTTCCGTTGATAATTCTGTTTCATTATGAACAAAATAGCTTAATATGTGAAATAATTTCATTCGTTAAAAATAATATTGCTGGCAAAAAACAATATATATTGTTTCTTCCTCTTATATTATCAAAAACATTGTTCTGATTGACTTATGTCATAACAAATGGCAGTAGATGTAATGGGTAACAGCAATTCATGAATAATTTTTTTTAATTTCTTTACAAATTCAAGACAAATAAACAAAAAATAAGAATTACACATTACGTTAGTCTAGTATTTTTTGTCTTACTAATTTATTTAAAAAACATAGATTTGAATATTTCATAATTACAATGAGATAGATATCTATAACAAACAAATTTTTTGTTTTAAAACTAATTTCATGATTCTGATTGTTGACTTGAATCGGATAGAGCTCGTTTATTACGTAGACTTTTTGTTCTACAAAAGAAAAAGAAAATATTTGTACTCAATCACTTTTTCTCTTGTTTACTTACTTTGCTCTTCTTTTACTTGATGTAGATGCATTTGTCATTGATCGTGATGGTGGTTTCTCACTACTTGTTGTACTTTCATCTTCATCTTCAATATCTTCATCACCTTCATCATTTATTGGTTGAGTTGATTGTGTATTATTTTCAGAAGTTACTAAAATACATATAGTATGTCTTATCTTTTCATAAAGAGACATTCGAATGAAACATACTACTATTGTTTTTCTTATTTGATGATAATTCTTGCATGATTTCACGATGTTTGCGAATATTTTTTCGACCTATACGAGACAATTTTTAGTAATTATCGAGACAAAAAAAGAAGATCAAACACTTACGTTCTTTTTCTCGTTCACGTTTCAATCGATCACGACCAAGCAACTGAAAATGAAATTCTTGTAGTTCAATAAAGTACAAGAGATCAATATTTTACTGTATAGGATGTAGCAGAGGAATATGAAAAGAGTCGATCAGATTCACGAAACTTTGATGATTTATCAATTGAACTAATGAAAACAAAAAATAAATGAATAGCTAAAAAATAATGAAAATAAGATTAGTAATCTAATACTAGTAATGTCTTATTCTAGGTATATATGTTTTGAGATGCTCTAAACTGATTTCTTAGCAATTATCATAAATTTTACTAAATTAATATTTAGTGAAACAGGTATGAGAAAAGGGAAACTTTCTTACGAAAATTTCATCTACAAGATTAAGTCAACAGAATATTAAAAAATTCCTTATATGTGTTTGTGTCGTTTAGATATTGAAACACATGAAAATTATATAATTATTCTATAACAGCAGTGGATTCTAATGAATTCAAATTATACGTATTTCAGCTAAAATGATCTGCTGTACTTTTCGAACTTCGTTTCTCAAACAAAAACGAAAGATTTATTGAAAATTTTAATAGACGAAGCAACGTATATCCTTGTCTCTTTTTATTTCAAGTATGATCGTACTCAAATCGAAACATCTGGAAATTTTTAGAATGTATCCTTAGATATATTAAAATTGCAAAAATAGCTTCAAGTATATCGATGAGAAACGTTGAAAAACTACGATATTTTGAGAAATAATAACTTTTACTTGAACGAGAAGTGTAAACATTGCAGATACTTTTTTATCAACATCACTCTTTATGTTGCTTTGTCAATTTATATATTTATTTCCAAGTTCCAACATTCATGATATTACTTCTGTATTGGCTGTTCGAAGTTTATCACAATCAATTTAAAGTTTAGTTAACATAACTAATTCGGTCTTTACTTATTTTGTTTTTTCTGGAGAGAAATCCGGCAAAATTTTAAAGCACATAAAAAAAATGAAAGGAAGCATTTGGTAATAGCGTGACAAATAGAAACTGAGAAAAAGCATTCATTTCTCTCTATTTATTCGTTTACTTTGATAAATTATGGATAGTTTCGATAAAAACTTACTTATTATTTCCACTTCCACTAGTCAAATAATTGTTCCATCCTCGAATACAATTTCCTGTATCTTGTGTTTGTTTAAGATAACTTGTTTCAAATGCATAAATTTGTTCTTCAATATCTGATAATGATTTCTATAAATAAGATTTCATTTATTAACGACATAGAAAAAAAAAACAATATCTTATTAACAAACTTCAATTTCTTCTTTTTTCTTCAATAGTTGTGCAAGTTCAGCACGTGTATCACGAAAAACATGATTTGTGATTGATTTATCTTTATTCGCAGTTGGACTTGTTGGTGATGCTAATGTTGTAGTAGTCGTAGAGTCTTTCATTCTTTTCTTTCTTTTTCAAAAACAAGAGAAAATAAAATCAAACTATTTTCTATGTTTATCTAAAGGAATATTTGAATAATCTTTATTTCTAATGAAATTTTATTTTATTAGTTTCATCATTATATTTTTTTTAAAAGATACAATAGAACAAACAACAAAAAAAAGAAGAGATGATTATTATTTATTGTCCAAGAATTATGGTTTCTTTTATTTCAGTATTGTTTAATATTCTTCACCTTCTCCTTCGCCTTCACCCTAGAATAAAAAGAATAGATTATTTTATTTAAAATCAAAACATCAAAGATGACAATATTATCTTACCTCAACTGAATCAACACCAACTTCTTCATAGTCTTTTTCTAATGCAGCTAAATCTTCTCGAGCTTCAGAAAATTCACCTTCTTCCATACCTTCACCAACATACCAGTGAACGAAAGCACGTTTAGCATACATTAA